CCTGCTGATGGGACCCACTGCTTTTGATGTTTTCAAGCAGTTTGCACAACTGACAGGTACTAGCTCATATAAGTGAAGAGAGAGTACGGCACGTTCACTCATGAGAGTCTCTGAGGAACATGCTGTATCAGAGAGGGGCTTAATGTTAACCTAGCCCATTGTGTGCAGTAGGCCAGTTGTTTTAAAATTGCTGTTTGCAGAGCAAAGGCTGGTGAAAATATGAAAAGCATGCTTTCATCCTTGTTTTCCTAGCATCTGCAGCTGGCCAAACTTCTAATTGAGAAGCCAGCATAGTTATTCTGAAACTGCTCTATCAGAGGAATAGAGGAAACACTGGGGATTGGAGTTCCTGGTCATGATCAAGACAGGCTGTCTTACGATTAGAAAAGACTGAAATTATGAAGTGATATGTCCTGAAGAGTAGAGAAAGAAGGGAGAAAACATGGTAGCTGTCCAGTGTGTCCGTTAGAGAAGGGAACAAAAGTGCCATGGAGATATATGCCAGGAGAAGAAAAGAAGCAAGAGGCATGGGAAGAGAATAAAAAAATGGAGGCAAGAGGATTAATGTTTTATAAAAGCAAAATTCTTCCTATCCTAAAGAGAATTAAAAACTCAGAAATATCCCCAGTAGTTCTTTAGTGTGCTGGCAATGATTGTATTTGCTGCATAGAGGAAATGGAGAGGATGTGGTTCAGCTGAACAGGAATAGGAAGGTAAGTAGGTCACAAGAGGATCTTGCCAAATTGAAGTTTGATGTGGAAAGCTTCCTTGCCCCTGTTGACATATACATACATACATATTTTCTAATTTTAAAATATCTAGACAATTGCAACTGCGTGGTTCTGTTGGTACTGTGGAACCTGTGTGTCTGATTCACTGCTCGGGTTCAAGCAGCCACAAGAATTGCATTCTACTGAGTTTAATCCATTTAGTTGTTTGCATTAGTGACAGTTAAATTCATCCATAGTATTTTTACATTAGAGAAATTTTAAAAATAAAATGATAATAGTTACTAGAATAACTCTTCAGCATTATGGAACAGCAAGTTCTTTCTCACCCTTACATTATCATTATAGCTCTCTCTGCTGTCTCTGGCCATTTGCCTCTATTATAATATTTGTTATGAGCTTATTTCCAGGGTTCAGCCACTTGGGTGCGAAAAATGTGCTCTAGATTTAAACCTAGGCCAGCATTCCCCTGCTGCAGACAGTTACATACTACTGGCTCTCCACTTAACTTTTCTAGAGGCTCTGGATAAAATCCTGAAGCGCATTAACAGTGTTATCTTCACTCATACATTCTCCTAGGCACTCAAGCCCTACCTCCCCTCTTTTCTTTGGGCTACCATCAGTGCCGCTGGAATTATGAGGATGAGCAAGATGTCAAGGCAGTAGACGCTGGCTTTGATGAGCATGATATTCCTTATGACGTGATATGGCTAGACATTGAGCACACCGATGGGAAGAGGTATTTTACCTGGGACAAGAAAAAATTCCAGAACCCCAAAAGGATGCAAGAACTTCTCAGGAAGAAAAAACGTAAGGTAAATAATATAGCAGTCCGGAAGACGGTATTTCTTTGTAGTGTGAAGATACCCAATCTAGCTTTAAGCAAGGTAAGTCAAATATTAGAAGCAGTTTAACTACGACAGGATAAATTAGATGGTGTTGCAATCTGGTGATGCTTCCAGTACGCAAGTCATTTCATTTAATCCAGCTTCTAGTGCCACTATATTATTCTATAGTTTGTTCTATACCCTGACCATCAGGCTAGGCTTAACATGTGTGAAGCTCCATCTTACAAAAGCAGCCCCTTGCTGTCCTTGATAGATAGCAGAAAATCTTTTTACTTAACGTTATGAACCCTCACCACTGGTAATTGCTATAATTGCTTCAGCCTCTCTTTTTATTTCCTGCTTATATTAATTGGGATTTGCCCTTTATGTTGGTAGGATTGTTTACTATAGACCTTTCTCTTACCACAAAACCTTTTCTCTGGAGTTACAGAGATATGAAAACATACACATTTAAAAACTAAAATCTGTGGAACTGCTGAATGCTTGAATGCTTTAGCCAAAAGGCAACAGCCAGGGGAACTGTTGAAATAGCATTCAAGTTTTGTCGTCTGTTAGTAGAAGCTGCGGTACTTTTTCAGCTTTACAGCAGGGCAGTTAATGGCAGCAGAATATAATACTGAAAAATACAGTACTTGGACTTTTATTATTATTATTTGTATTTAGAAACTGTTGCTGATGTGTGTTATACAAACTAAGATATATTTAAAAGTCTTAAGGCAAATGATCTAAGGCATGGACATTGCTACAGAAGTCAGGAACAAGTATATTTTCCCATTCACAGAATACAACAGTGAATTAAATACAGTGTTTTTAGGGGGTTAGGGTGCTTGCTTTCCTCTGAAATAATGTTTTGTTGGCCCTTATTTCAGAGGGTTAAGCATGAATTCACATCCTCCTTGTAAATTCAACTGTTTTACATAGGTATAGTACAGTATACACAAGCACTAGTAACTGCTTTCTAAAATTAGTGACAAAACTACCTTCTTCGCCTGAAATGAACTCTTTATCTGCCTTTTATCAGAAGTGAATAGTCTTACTGGAGTACTCAGGGTGGTTGATGCTAATGATGCATTTCATTTTCTTATCCTTGCAGCTTGTCGTCATTGTAGATCCCCACATTAAGGTTGATCCCACGTACACCCTGTATTCACAGGGCAAAGACAAGGGATATTTTGTGAAAGACAGGAATGGGCAAGATTTTGAGGGCATCTGTTGGCCAGGTAAAGAACTCTTCTGTCTCTACATTTCAAGTTGTTCATTTTATAAGCCTTGCAGAATATTTTAATCAGGACCCAAGCAAGTAGAATTCATTTCTCACAGTCCGTGCATACTTTGTGGCTCCTTTGGCTTTTGTATGTTCATGTTCTAATTGTTTTAGCTTTACTACTTACTTTGCTAGGCCTGTTGGCTCTGCAGATAATCCCAGTGTCTAGAGCTAGAAAAGCTGGATCTGTTGAGCAGAACAGCCATACCTCCTCCCCAGCTTGTCTTGGGTAACAAAAATCAGGTCTAGTCTATTGCAGTGAACGCAGCTGATATAAGCCGGATGAAATTAAATGAACCACGATACTGATGATACATGACTTTGAGTGATAGTGCAGTGACCCTGTATGTTATTTTTCATGAGGAGATCTCAAAGTGCTTTACAAAGGAGGTTGTTCCCTTTTTTTTGCATACAGAAAGCCTGTAGTCACAGCAGTGGAATGTCAAAAGGATATGAAAAAAGTCAAGGATGTACTACAACTTCTAGTAGCATGGCAGTGTTTAAATATTATCATTTTAACCTGCATGTGCATATTTATGAGCATAGAACTGCAGCTGCAGCTCTCTCATGGGCTCAGGACATAGTTATTCAGCTTCCCAGTGGCGCTTTCCTGCCTGAGCGCAGAACACCAGCGATTCTGCTCCTCCCTGGTTTCCTGTTCACATCTGAGCATACTTCAAACTGCTGTCAACCATCCTTAAACTGTGCTGAGCTTCAGACTTCCAGAGTTTGTTTGTTGTCCTCAGAGCGCAGGAAAGGGTGTACTGAGTTCCCTGTTGGCCTAGAATTTGTTCATGAGCTTTTGTCTCAGAAACAATAGTAGGCACATCATTGCTGCCCACTGTGGAAAGCATCCTACCTGTTGGCCGCTGTATTTAGATGCAAAGACAACGCACGCTCTTAAAATCAGGTAAATAATTGGGATCTCCCAAACGTGCAGGTTCTTCTTGTTATCTGGATTTCACCAGTCCTGAGGTGCGAAAATGGTATGCAGATCAATTTGCCTTCAAATCGTACAAGGTCTGTATTTATTTGCTCTGCTCTAAACATCCTAGAAAGTCTTAAAATGGGGAAAAGAGAGAAAGAGAGAAGATAAACCACTGACTAAGCAAGTTACTGGCTTTCGTAGTTGTATTGTCATAATGTAGAAGAAAATATCTTGATAAGCTGAAGTACTACAGAAGGATTTTCTCCATGGCTTTGTCTACACTAAGAAAATTTTAACCCATACTCCACCACTGAAACTGCTCCTAGTTTTAGCAGTAAGATGGTCAGAGTGCAAGCAGTTTAGCAACTCATCATCCAACACAGCTGTCCCATTTGCAGCTTTTACTAGCTTGACAGTATGCAATAAGTTAGGTGGGAGTACTGGCTTTAAAGGTTTCATGGCTTTTCCCATCTCAGTGACCTCTGAAATGACTCCTCGGAGGTGTTAGAGGCAACCTTGCAGTCCTCACAGTCACAGCACCCTGACCTTCCCTCCAGCATTCCCACCTGCTCCTGCAAGTGCCTGGCTGAACACTGCCAGAAACCTCCAATTTTCTTCCGCTCTATTGTGGTAGAAGTTGTTTTAATCTCTCCCCCGGTAGAGCCTCAGCTGACATTTCCCACGCTGTTTTTCCTATCCAGTTTTTCTCTTCTGGCCTTTCCTGATTTTTCCACATGGCTTTTTAATAATCTTTTGATCTTTCCTGCCTTTTCACACTCACCAGAAAGTAGGAATAGCAGGCAGCTCTGCTGAGCTTTGTGAGAATTGCAAAAATCAAGTGATTTTTGTGGGCTGCCATCCTGGCCCGAAGGGCCACCAAGAGAAATGGGAGGAATGACTGGCAGTTTTCAAGTGGCCACAGGAGTGTAATTACCATAATTGCTGCTGCTGTTCCTATTCATACCCTAGCCTGGCCTGCCACCCACTAGCGATGAACGCGCTAGGTCATGGCAGCAGGTTTGTTATGTCCTAATTGCAACCCTGTGTCACAGGGGTCAACTAATATCCTCTTTGTATGGAATGACATGAATGAGCCTTCGGTCTTCAGAGGGGCAGAGCTAACAATGCAGAAAGATGCTGTGCACTACAGCAGCTGGGAGCACCGGGAAGTTCACAACCTCTATGGATTCTACCAGGTAGTGTTTGGAGACGCAAACCAGCAGTTATCCTCCTGGAGTGTGTCTATTGTGGTGAGGATTGTATTTAGACAGTAGTAGGTAATGTGCAGCCTCCATCAGGTATTGAAAGTCTATTGTGCTAGTACTACTACATTCGAAATAAACTCCTCTGTGACTGACCACAAGACGACACGACAACATTCCGTGCTTCTCTGCTCTGACAGTGTAATGACACTAACTGTGACTACACAATACTGGTAATTTATTTTATTTTGTTCAAGTATATCCTAGTAAGAATGTGTTCCTTTAATAATACCTATTATTTGTGGATACAGGTTTCTTAATTTTCCTGCCTTGGAAGGGCTAAAAAGGCAGTGTAACAAGTAACTAATTACAGAGTTTGTCTCCCTGACTTTTATCATCCTAATTTTCAGCAAATGGCAACTGCAGATGGACTCATCAAACGTTCTTTGGGAAAAGAGAGACCATTTGTCCTGACACGATCTTTCTTTGCTGGATCGCAGAAGTATGGTAAGCAAGAACGAGCTGCATGCCTTCTCTAGTGCTTTATTTTATTAAGCATGGTATCTAGTAATTAAATACAGAGGAGGACAGAAACTATGTTAGAAATACTGAAACGGCTAGCTCATAAGCATGCAACTCATTAAAAATCTCAGGAAAGGCTGGCAGAACATGTACAAGTGAAAGGCAGAATAACAACCTGTATCCTGTGGCACACCATCACCAGCTTTTAGCGCGTATTTCAGGAGCACGTTGCATGAAATCAAACAGTTGAAATGAACAGTAGTTCACCACCGTTCTTGTCTTTTTTCCTTAACTGCAAACATAAGCTGAACCGTATGTACGACTTCACTGTGTAATCCTGAAACTGGGTATTTCCAGGGGCAGTGTGGACTGGAGACAACACAGCAGAGTGGGAATACTTAAAAATCTCCATTCCAATGCTGCTCACCATCAGCATAGCAGGGATTTCATTCTGTGGAGGTAAGGTGTTTATCTGGAGTTCCTCACGATGAAGGAGGAAGGAGTTCCTCACCAAGTTTGTATCCCAAGATAGGTGTCAACGCAGATGGTGAAGAGCTCTGGCACTCCAGTGCATTTCCAGACAGTTTCACAGATCAGTCTAGTTTCAGAAGCCAACAACCTGGCTCCTTTCTCCACTAAGCCTTTCATCGCGCTGATGTCCCACCTGGAGCCAGGACCCCTGGGTGGTGTTCCATAGCATCACTACGACAGTCCTCTGTCACAGGGGAAGGCGCTCACTGAGCCTCCCAAAGCTCTCTGACAATTTCATTAAAAGATAACTCGTTAAATCAATTTTCTGCTTTTGTTTGGAAGAACAGCTGCCCAACAGCAAGACCACAAGTACCCTGTGAAACGCGTGGATTATATGCTGGGAAGGTTTGTTGAAGAGGAACTTAATATTTTTTCAAAATGATTTCCAAAAATATGTATTTTTTTTTGTCTGCATAATATCTAGCTGATGTGGGAGGGTTTATTGGAGATCCAGAACCAGAATTACTTGTTCGTTGGTATCAGGCTGGAGCCTACCAGCCCTTCTTCAGAGGCCATTCTAACATGGAGAGCAAACGGCGAGAACCATGGCTCTTTGGGGAGAAGAACACCCAGATCATCAGGGAAGCCATCAGAGAGCGCTACGTCCTCCTGCCCTACTTATATACACTGTTTTATCGGGCACACATGGCAGCTGAACCAGTTATGAGGTAAGAGCGTAGATCAGGAAGTTAAGTGATTACTGTCAGGAAGTCGCTTGGAGGAGGAAAGTTAAGTTACTCTCTCTTACTTTCATGATGACTATTTAAATATTTAAAAACAAACACAAAAATGACTAAATTCTATTTTCTTGTTTTCTGCAAGCCTCAGTAGGAGTCCTGTAAGAAAATTACATGTCCTTTTTTTTTTTAAATGAGGTTTGGAATGTACTGATTCAATGAACATTGCACATATACAATCTCAGACATGTTTAAAGTAGTAGACTCCAAACTTCTCATAATTAAAGAGTATTATCTAGTATTCTGACCTGCATTTCATCAGTGCTAACACACTCCAAACTTGCTGACCTGAAAGCATAAAGGTCCGTTTTTGCCCCATTGGAAAAGATTTATTACTGAATTGTTACTGTTAAAAAAAGTTTATTTCATATTGTTAACTTGATGATTTGTCTTTACAGTATTCATATTGTTTTTCCTTTAGTAGAAAATCTAATAATCTAGAACAGAAGTAAAATTAGAAAACGAACTTTCTGCTGCTCCCTAACCTCTAAGAAAGTGTCTCGGGGAATAGAACACAGCAATCCTATCAGAAAAAGATGGATATCCCCAATCTCCCTGGTATTGGTGTGTCTTTGAGGTTGCCTAGACCTGTCCTTGTGCACCATATTTATCTTTACTCATTGTGGTGCAAATACAATACATCTCTCAAGTTTTAAGAAAGATAAGCCAGGTCTTTCTGAAGACAGAAAGTATGGACTGAGTTGTGAATATGATTTGCATTACAGATATAGTGTGAGTATACACACATCGTGAGTCTCCTCATTTATAGGTGCAGATGCCCCTGGTTGTATGCACAGACACAGAGAGTGGGCTTCTGTCTTTCTGGAAATGAAGCCTCCGTTGACCCACAAGGTTAGATAAAGCCAAGATTATGTGAATTTTCTGCAGTAGCTACATAATTACAGAGAAGGCATGGTATTTTACTTACTGAGACAAACAGAGTGGAAAACATGCCTCATTAGCAAGCAAATTAAGAGCAGCGCTGCAGCAAACAACTGGATGCCTGTGAGTGAGCAGGCAGGCAAGGCTTTGTTCGTAAGGAAACCTAGAGAATTGGTGCAGATGCTATCTCTGTTAGAATGAGCTATTATTGTCATAAACTCTCAAACTGAAAAATACAACGCCTGTTCTGTTACCAGGTGGTTATTGCACTACCCTTTTTTGAGAAAGACGAAATTTCAACTTTTGGTGCAGATTTTTCAGTCCTTGACCAAGAGGAGACAGCTGTTGCAAAAGTAGAAATGAACTGCTGAGAGCAGGAAGGACTGTCCCTTGGGGACTAGCCGATCAAAGCAGCACCGCTGATTGATAGACTGTGATGGAAAGGGTCACCCATCTCTCCTTTGCTAGAAAAAAGGTAGATGTAGTACAAGTTTGTAAGGAAGAAGGCAGGAGGAAAGAAAGTGGGGCGGCAGGAGGCCAAACCACAAGTATATTGGAGTGTCTTAACCAACACTGCGTTCGGAACTCTCATCAGTGACTTAACATGGGCCCTTCAAGGCATAGATAAGGACCCTGCCTAGTCTTCAGCTGTGCCTTGGCAGCTGTGCCTTGTTAGAGAGGGAGAAAATGGAGCCTGAAAAGGCCTTAAACAGGTTGATGAGAGAGGAGGAACTAACTGAATTCCACTATCTTGCTTTCTACAGGCCTCTCTGGGTAGAGTTTCCAGGGAAAATAGACACTTTTGATGTGGAAAACGAGTACATGTTGGGTAAGTAGGTGATTTCTCTATGTCTGGAATTTGAGTTGAGTGTTTTTGAGGTTAAAGTGTGACATGACAAAAAGAAAGCAAGAAAACTCTGTCCGGGACTCTTAAATGTGATGCTGTTACTGAATGCTGAACTTGAGACCTCTTTAAACGACCTGATTGTCACAGATGAATTGTGAGCACTTTGAAAATTGGAGTCATCTGAGATGCAAAAATTGAGGTCAGTCTCACCTAGTAAGTTTTAAAAAACACAGCTGTTGTTTTGACCTGAAACAGATGGAAATTCCCTGTAGCAGCTAAGACTACAGTCTGCTTCAAAAATGACAGCGGCAAACAGCTACTATCCAAAGGTGGTTGGTTTTTACTGTGACATATGGCTGGCTGCTAAAGTCAGTACTTTCAGAAATTAAGCTCAGGAGATGAGTGTGTTTATGTGATGCACATCCAGCTTGTAAGGGAAGAAAGAAGGTGGGAGGACAGTTCAAATGAAGGGACATTAATTTCTCCTGCACAAGTCTCACCAAGGCGGTCAGGAGAACGTAGCGAACCCAAGTGGGGGAAGCAAAGCATCAGAGGACTCTATGGAAGTTCAGGCTGTATCACTGATGGGCAAGGAGGAGAGAAGTTTCTCAAAGTGAATATTGTGCCATGTAGTCTGTATGAGTTAATGTGTTGTTAGGAGTGAAGTGTAACCATCCCCAGTGCAATATGCTTAAGCAGAATTTGTCTGACAAGGGCAGTCCCTTCTTCCACTGTTTTGGTTAGAAGAGCATGTTTTTTGTTCAACCAAAGAGCACAACAGGAATTCACCTCTCAGACTGTGAGGGACCCAGGAGTGCCCCTAAGCTGCAGGGTTGTGGAGTCCTGATGCTAAACAGAGTGAGACCCCAGCAGCCATGAGCTCCTTACATGTGTCTTCATTTCCAGCAGAAAGTGAACCTCAGGACATGGCATGGCCTAGGCAACTCCCTAGAATGGCTCTGGGAGGTTGGCAACCCCAGGGAACACCAGAGCGCACAGCTACCACTCTGCTGAGATGCAGCCTTAAGGATCATAGCAGTCACTCATTGCTGTGTATATGTTTTTCTCCAGGAAATGCTTTGCTGGTGCATCCGGTCACTGAGCGAGAGGCCAGGACAGTGAGCGTTCTGCTTCCTGGGTCAGAGGAGGTGAGGTTGAGTAAGAAGCTGCTCAGCTGTTCAACCCAAAGAAATGTTCTATATTGCAGTCTCCCAGCTCCCCACTAAGAAGTGGTGTTGCCACTGTCATGCAGTAGTGATAGCTGTCCTGTGCCCATCACAGTCCACCGCTCTGGACCTTTCTGCCATCTTGGTGCCTCACACACTTGGCTCACAGCAGACTTGCTTTTCCAAGAGCTGCTGCACAGGTCTCCACACTAAATTGTCGATTCCTTTCTTTCATGTATTTCTCTTAGGGTTAAACTTCTCTTTTACCTGGAATAAAAGGGAGCTTTGAAGGGAAGTTCATAAGGAAACCAGAGGGAAGCTAGGGAAAGGGAAATTATAACAAAGAAATGGAAGCCTCAGTAGCCTGGAGCTGGAGTGCATAGGTTTGAAACACTTTGACATGCAGAGAGATCAGTTTCTCTCCGAAGTCAAGTTATACATCCACAGGATGGCGCTGTGATCCACTCCTACACAGAGCATTTTGTTTCAGCAGCTGAGATGTGGAGAAAGGGAAGGAATCTGGGAATGTATTTCCTAAGGAAAAGTTTGAGATTCATCTCTAGAGACAAAAGGAAAGACAGCAGCAAAGTGGAGTGCGAAAGCCTTGCCACTCTACTAATGCACGCAAGGACGCTAATTATTTTATCAATTTAAGGGGAAAAAAGAGGCTAGGCTCTCCAAGCAAGCTAAGAAAAGTAGTTTTATAAGCATCTCTGTGGGAATTCACTGCCTGGTGACGACTGTGATGCAGGGGAAGTTGCAGATGTTCCTTATTTTTGTGACCTATTTTAGCAATGTTATTGTTAGTTTTCATTTCAATATCAATATGCTTATTCTGGAGCTTACTTTTTTTCTTAATTAGAATAGTTGTATCATTGTTCGGCACCTCCAGATGCTTTAAAACATACAAGTTGTGTGCAAAGTGTAGGAAAGAGCAGCCTAATTTTGTGATTCAGGAATGACAATTTATTCTTTCTCTTCGTAATGTCAATGGATTTAAAAAGTAAATGTGACTTCTTGCACCTCAAATAAACTGGTAGGAATAGTGAGAGTACCAGATGGAGTGAAAGAGCAACTGCCCCTTGCAGAGGGAACAGATTGTTCCATAGATGTGTTGGGCTCATTCTTTCTTCGTTTTTTCCTAGATTTGGTATGATTTCAGAAAATTGAAACGAATGGAAGCTGCAGGCGCTCTGAAGATCCCAGTAACGCTGGAGAATGTATGCTTTTTTTAAAAATACTACTTTCGTTGAGCTGAAAAAATAAAATAGACTTTTTTGTAAAGCGCTCAAAATCTAAAACGAGACGTTTCAATCTCCTTGTAGGATTGTAATCTAAAACAGCTTTTGTAGAGAAGAAAAGTCTCTGTGTTAACTTCAGACCAAACCATTCTAAAACCGAAAACTGATACTATGAGCAGAGCACAGACAGCTGGAAGAAGGGTTAATTATGGTAAAAATGAATTCCAGTGACATCCTGCCCAACATCTTAGTGACCTGCCAGGGCCTGTCTAGACACAGAAATTGTGGCACACTAAGCCTGGGTGTGTATTTCTATTAATCTGCACCAATTCCCTAGCAGATAATCTTCACGCTTAAGATGAAGTTGTTTACTTTTTTTTTTTCCAAAACAAAGTGCAAAATCTTTCAAAAATGCTCATAGAGACATGTCTGCATAAAGTAATTGCAGCTCAGTGAATTTGGGCATGTATCACGTTCTAGATAATCTGCGCTACTTTTTGTGTGGATACACTTCAACATGCATTCAGAACAACTCTGTAGAAAAAGGTAATAAGCAATCTTGTATTAACTGAGCACTACAGGGCTCCCCGTTAGGAGTCTACCAGTCTGCAGTGGCAATATTTCATCAAAATGGTTGAAGTAAAATAAGTTTTTTTTTCAACGTGCTTAGCAATTGAGAAGCTCCCTTGGGCCATGTGATATTGTTGCCTTTCCTATGACAGACCCACTCAATTAAGAAAGTTAGCCAGATGGACCTAGGACCTCAGTGCAAGTGCATTACAGCAACTGTTGTACCTCAGGAAACGATCTTCCTGAAATCCTGTCTCTGTTGTTGGAGTGGAACACTAATGTGCCCTGGTAGCAGGGAAGTGAGGTATTGTAAGGATGACTTCTCCCAGCAGAGATGGTTGGCTTGAACACATACAGGAAGTAACTACTGTTCTCATTGTTAATTGAATAGTTTTTCTTATGTGCTCACAGTAAACGTTCATTTCTGAGGTTTGATAAGAAAAAGCTGCAGTTTTCCTATCACGTAAGTTAAAATTGTGTGATCAGCTTATATGAACTTTTCTACCCTGGCTTTGTTATTGGCAGATCCCTGTATTCCAGCGTGGGGGAACTGTGATACCTCTGAAGACCACAGCTGGAAAGTCCACGGAGTGGATGACAGATATTTCTTATGCGCTGCATGTGGCCCTGGACACAGAGGTACTCTGCGATGACCTTTCCTTTACAAAGTTGTTTTTTTATCCCATCCATCCTTTTTAGGTCCTTTCTGCCTGCTTGATCAGCACAGAGGTGTCTGTGTCTGCACACCTGGTGGCTCTCCTTTACTCCTTCTACCTGGGGTCTCACCTCACTCCCACTGTTTCCTCAGAGTGAGACTGAGTGTAGCACAGAACACTTTCTGACCTTTCCCAGCTCTCCTCTAGTCCTTTGGAGAAAGGAGCAGAGAATGGGTAGGCCACACACTTCCTCTACAAGCCAGAAAGAGGACTTCCCACAGCTATCCTTTCCAATAAAAGAGGTGTCACCAGGCACATGCATCAGTTTACAAAATCAGGATGTCCAAGTGTCCAGAGCACTTTCAGAGCTGGACTCCCTGAGCCTTCCAGAGATTCAAGTTGCTAAAAAACAAGCCTTCACTATAAAATATTAGCATATAGTGAGACTTACTGTTTTCAGTTTCATTGTCCAACACTAGAAGCTCCTGTTAATTTCTACTCCATCTGGCGTGTTCAACAGGGCTATGCAAAAGGTGAACTCTACCTAGATGATGGGCATTCATTCCAGTACCTCCATGAGAAGCAGTTCCTGCACTGGAAATTCACTTTCCACAAGAAAGTTCTCTCTTCCAGGTAACAGCAACAAATGTAGACAAATTCCAACATGCTACCACTCAAAATGCCTTTTCTAGTTCATTAGACCTCTTTACAAATGTACAAGTGTTAGTCTCATCCATTGCTAGTGAAGACCCAGAGCAAGCAGAATCTCTCATAAAACTGCATAGGTAAGTGACGCATAAGTCTAGATACAACAGCGCTTGAAATGCTGAGTTGTCTAATATTGTTTCAGTTTACTCAAATTTACATATTTACTCAAATAAATACAAAGAAAGTCATCACCAAAAATAAAATATATCGGAGAAACAAAGGACAATAAAGTGGGAGGTTTGCAAATAGGCAACCCCTAGAGTGTTTGTATCTTCTAAGGTATAGGAACCACAAAGAGACACCGTTACGTATAGTCTGAAAATCATCAGCAAATGCACCATATATCTTACCATATTAAAATATGTGAAAGGACGCACAAGGGTACACCCTGCAAAGGTTGAGTGAAACAACTAAAAGCCAACAATATCCATATTTGCTACTTGAAAGGAAAGAGATTTCAAATACATCACTGCTACAGTTTTACCAGTGCGGTTTATTGCCTGTGGGGCTGTTCAGTTCATAAAAAATGAATTTACAAGTATTTCATTATTCTTTTAGGCTTCAAAAATATGCAGAAATTGGTTCTCAAACTACAAAAATTAGCACAGAGCAAAACTGCAGATTAGCTCGGATAGTGTAGGTAAAAGTATGCTTCACATCCCTTTATCTGGCAAGATTGTAAAATATGAAAAACTTGAAAGTTCAGGAGGGAGGTGAAAGATGTTAATCACTAGCAGATCTGGAATTTATCTTTGGAGAGAACAGAATGTTATATTCAACTCAAAGTGAACACTTTTATTTTGGATCTAAGCTTTTTTTAGAGCTTTTTAATTAAAAATAAATACTTCAAATTAAATTTGTTTCAAAATGAAAGATAGTTATGATACAAATTGAAACACCTTGCTTGAAAAGTGTTAAAATTAGACAGCTTTACATTTGTGTTGAGAAAGGGATTTTGACACTACCATTTGGCTAAATCTCAGAATCTTTCCGGTTGTTAAAGCTGCATTTCTTTAATCATAAGATGCCTTGGAAAACTTTTATTCTCCTCTCTAATTTTTGTAAAGTCTGCTATACAAAAAAATTCATCTGATAATGGAGAAAATTGTATCTGTTTCAGGAGAAAGGTAAATACATAAAAACTAAAAACAGTACTGGGAACCTTCAGGGAGAGACGGAAGTAGTGGTTTTTCTGCATGATGCTAAACTGCTGTTGATGGACAGGAACTACTGTATATGAAATATTTCTTTTTCAGTTGCACAGATGAAAATGGACAGTACCACACTACATGCATAGTTGAGCGGGTGATAATTCTGGGACTTGGAGAGCAACCCATCTCTGTGACAACATGTTTAAAGGGTAATGAACTAACTTGTATTTCACTGCAATTATTTGAAATACTCTTGTACTGGTGGCGTTCATTAGAGGCTGCAAACTGACAGCTGTATATGGGGAGCATCTTTGTTCAGTCGTCTTTGCTACTTTTTGGATATCAAGAGCAAAATTTAGTGAAAGAAGTTAGCAGTTACTCACCACTGATACTACATGCAGAACTGAAGAACATTTGTTTTGTAAGGTAATAGATACATCAGTAATGGTGCTTCAGAAGTAACAAGTTCAGATAAGTTCGTCCTGCAAAGCATATGACCAGTGATAGCATTTAAAATGAAGGACCATGTGGTCCTTCTGTTGTACAGGTCAGACCTGTATATCTGCCTAGTCAAAAGAGGAAATGTGCAGACTAAAACAAAATTACTCTTCTGTTCTCTTGCTCATTCGACAGAGCCTGGAGACCCTGACTGTATGGGGATGTCTAGAAGTTGCAAGGGATCCCACAGGGGTAAGCAGTGGCGTCTGCAGAGAGGGCTTGTCACTCCTTGGTGCTTTCCAAGCACATCCCTTCACTTTGGGAATCATGTGAACATAGACTTTCTGCCTGCACCTGTCCATGCTCAGGACTTGTAGGGTGCTTGGAGAATAAGTTATCAACTTCTATACAGAGAAATCATTGAATAGTTTTGTGGCAGAAGCTCATGCACCCCAAGTTAGTTTGAAAGGCCAGAAGACAAGAAATAGTGTCTCCAGTTCTGCTACATTCTTATGTGTATCCTGGGCAGATTTGACTATTTCTTTTCTAGTCAGTCTCTCCCACTAGTACCATGGGCAGTCTGAATTAACAAGAGGGAGTCGTGTGTAACTGTGCTTCAGAAAGGTTCTTCTTAAAGCGTATGGTAAACTCTCTTGTCCTGTTCAGATGGGAAAGAAAAAGAAGTGGTTTTCACATATGATACGAAGACCTCTGCGTTGACACTGGAAAAATTAGCCCTGAGTATTGGTGCTGACTGGGAGATTCATATCAAGTGAAAGGAGAAACAGCTTCTTCGGAGAATTCACTGAGAGGTTGAAAGGAAACGAGTTTGGAGGAATTAAAATGCTTGTTTGAATCCAGTTAGATCAAAGAATATATTTCCCTCCTCGCAAAGAATATATTTCCCTCCTCGCAAAGAATATATTTCCCTCCTCGCAAACTAACATATCCTATAGTCTTTCTTTTAAAACAGTAAGTTAGACGTGAGTCATTCTTCTCAAGTCAGTAGTTGGCAAAAGTAATAGCAATGGGATTGTACTTGTGGTAAAAAGCTAATTGCTATCTGGTCCAGGCTAGCTTCAGTAAGGCATTAAGGTGGAGTTCTGCCTTCACTTGCACCAGAAAATCCTGACTTGATGAGTGGGTGAGGTTGTGGCTGGTTGGCATGCGGTTTAATAAAAGCACCTGGAAATCAAACTATTCACAGGCTAGAGCACTTGGGAAGAATAGCTCTGTGCCAGTTTAACAAACAGCATCGATAGGTATGTCAGATGTGGAAGTTATGGTCAGAGTTCCTGCTTTGTGCAAACAAACACAGAAGGAGTCACCCAGCGTGATTACAGGCACTCCCCCTTTCCAGTCCTTACGACAGTGCAAAATCAGGCAGTTTGTACAGGAAAGTTAACGATGCTAGCTGAACGGTTCAGGCTGAACTGAAGCTAAGGTTTGAATAAGCAATGCCAGTCAGTTGCGTGAAGGTAAAAGCATGTGAAATGGAAATGGAGAAGTCTCTTTAACAACTGGATTTGAAATTTTGGTATTTGGATTTTCAAGAAAGCACAAGTCTACAGAAGTGCAATATTGGCATGAGGTAGCAGCAGGACTGCTACAGAAATACTTTACACGTTATTGCTCCCCATCTCTGCCAGCACAACTGTGTGGTTTTGTTTTTGTTTTTTTTTTTTTAAGTCTTTTGTTAGGAAGGAATTGTCCGTATGTCTGAATGCATGAATGTCGTTGGTTACAGCCAGCCTGGTACAGCAACTCTGCTTATGGACAGCTCTGCTCTTGCGCATCTTTCAGTTCCTGCTAACGCCTGGCTTTCTTTAGATATATTTTAGCAATTTCTTGGTCACTTTTAGTATCTAGCTGAGCTTTGAGTTTGGTAGATGGCAATAGAAAAGTTTTTTCAGGCAAAGGAAACTCAAAGTGCTTGAGATTTTCTTTATAACAGAAAATATTCTTAAACTTAATGGGATTAATTCATCCCATTTCATGCATATTACCCCATTCTCTTACAACTTACCCTAATTCTCTCTTGCCTCACAATCCCACCTTCTCTGCAAACACAACAGGGGTGCTCCACTGCTTTCTTCCCTTTTCAAAGCCAAGAGACACATCCTGAGTCCTACATCCTTTACATCCTGCCTGTTCCCACTACCCCTTCCACATGGTGCACCTCTCCTCACAGGCTGCTGTTACTCCACAATTTGATTGGCCTTTCACTTTGCTACAGTTGTCAAATATATTATTTTAAAGTAAGTTCTGCTTTAAGTCAAGCGTGAACATACCATCATTTGGGTTTTATGGGTCTAGAAGAGCGGAATTTATTTAATTTCTTTCAGTATGGTAAGGAAATGTTTTCTAGAAAGATCTGTAAATTGGCTCTTGGGGAGCAGAGAAGCATGGTTAACATTTTTGCTGACTAAAGGGAACATAACTGTCCCTTTGTACAATGTGCACTGCTCTTACTAAGCCCTGCCTGAGCTTGGTTAGTCAGTCACTGCCACCTGCTGCTGTTTGTCCTCTGTAGGGCAGATTTCTGCAAATATCAGGTGTAAGAGCAAAATGTGATTGCTCTGCTCTTGACTACTGAGTGCAGCTTGTTCCCTGCCAGACCCATAGGTTCCTCCTTTATTCTGCAGAGCTCTTTTTCAACCCTTCCAGCAGGCACTGTGAGCCTCTGCTGTAGGAACTGGACACTGGCAGCCCAAACAGTGCTGTGCTTAGTGCAGGCAAGTGGAATAGTAGCAAACAGGTCTTTTACATCTGTGAGAAGAGAGTCAGGCCCTATTTTTCTGTTGGTTTCTAAGCTTTAATTGATGATTAATTCCTATATTTAAGCATAATGGTGCTTCTGACTGTGTAATTATTGACTGGAGCATTTTAATGAAACATTTTAACTGGTATTTTTGAAATGTGAAAGTAAGTGGAATAAAGTAACAGTGAAGTGAGTTACATGCCTCTTTCCTTCCAACCTTCTTTCTATTATGGAGAATCTCTAACTAGTATTCTTTAAAATGTATCTGATTAAAGCGCATGACTGCTTTTTATGCTGTGACCCTCAGGACGATATCTGCACTATAGTAAGTGCTCGTGGGTCAAATTTTCAGTAGTATGAAGTGCCTAAATTCTATAGATTTCCACAGGAATTAGTTGCTCAGCAGCTCTTAGAAGTTAAGTCTTTAGGCCTGAGGAATTAAATTCCAAAAAATAACATTTACGTTGGCATTTGTAGCAGCAGTCATACATGTAGTCCACTTCTGCCTTGCCTGAACAAGGTTAACTGTTCGGTACTTTTACTTGCAAGGAATTCCATCACAAAAGGTGGCTCGATTCCAAGTGGACAAAGGGCTTTTTGGTATCTGTAGTAGACAGCCCATCCATTCATCTCTGTAGTAAATTGCATTTCTTCAAAGACACCATTTGTCTTTTGCTAGCAACTCCTGCTTCTCACAAAAAGCCCTACAAGAGGAAAATCACTCATCTAGTAAAAATAGGAAAAGGAGAAGTACAGCTGTAACCAGAAAATACCCCCACACATCCATAAAGAGCAATGTAAGGTGAAGAGCGAGAAGCATGTTGCCCTT